ACTTTGACATTTTGCAAATCGACTAAATAATTACGGATTGAAAAAAAACAAGACAAAAAGTTTTGTTTTATTTTATTGCTGTTATTTTCTTTTGCTCAATAAAAGCAAATATATGAAGAAAAACCGATTCAATTTTTGCTTATTAAATATTTTTTGACTTCTGGATTTTCATGAAAAATTAATTTTGAAACAACAGCAGTTTGCAGTCCGATTACGATGATTCTTTGAAGAAAAGCGAAACACAGCCAACCGCTGTAACGGGAAAACCATAGGGTGAAAGCGTATGACAGAGTAGGCAAGGTCAGAGAATGCAGGAAGACTTGACAGGAAAAGGGACGAAGGAAAAGAAGAAGGGAAAGAAGAAAGGAAAACGGCCGAGAAAGAAAGAAAATGAGTAAAGGAAGGAGAAAAAAAAGTGAAATTTGGCAGTAAATCTTACTGCCAAATGTTTTACCTGTCAAATTCAGTGACCGCATTTGAATACATTTAATCAGTCTGCTGCTACATTAACGGCAACAGCAGCAGTTCCATTGTCAATCTATGCCGCTAATGAAAAAGCGATATTAAATTTTCCGCACTCATCACTCAGACTTTTTCATGTTTTTCTCGACAATGGCTCTGTTCATCGGGCAACACCAATGATTGCTGCGACAGCAGCGGCAGTTAATGGTTTTTCCAACGATGCGAATCAGAATCAGTAGCAATCTTTTCCATTTCATAAAATGAGGGAAAAAATTTGTAGACAAACAACTACTTCAACAGTTTTGTCCACATCGGCATTATGATAAAGTATTCGTTTATATTGTCATAGATGATATATCGTTCAACTGGAAGTCAGCACGAGTTTTTACACTGCTATAATCACTTGTTTACTAACGTAATACCAGTCTACCTACTCAAGACCAAGTGATTACAGGTTAAATTTGATGCTTTAGTGCTTTCGTTTTGCTTTCAAATATAAATTCCGTTCTAAAGTAATAGTACCGCAAAAAAAAAAAAAGTCATAAAATTTGCTTAAAACAATCTTCTCAAATGTTAATTAATCGAGAATTTTGATGAGTGTTTGTTGATTGAAATAATCGTGATGCGCTCTGCTATGAAGGCATTTTTACAAAGCTGATAGTTAAAAGATCAGTGTAACAGAGACATGTCTAAAGATCAGGCAAAAAAGCGTAGTTTTTTTTTGACGTCTGTTTTTAGATACTGATGACAGATTTTGGTTTCTAAACGTTAGTTATCAAAAAAAAAGAAAAATTAGTGTTCTTTTGGAAAAAAAAAGTGGGCAAGAAAAAAATTTTCCTTTGTGAGAATTTATTGGTACTAAAATTTGATATCTAAAGAAAAAGAAACAAAAGAAATGAGGTAATTTAAATGCTACTTTTTT